GTCCATAACCTCCCAAAGGGGTTCATGTCTTAGAGGGTGGAGAAAGTTGTGGGAAACTATGTGGGGGAGTTTGAGCAGTCGGACAAACAAAATTTTGACGGGGGTGAACATCAGTTTATGCGTGTCCGGACAAAGGTGAATATTGTGCGTCATCTGAAAGCGAGAATGAAGATGAAGAAACCGGGAGGGGAGTGGTTCTGGGTTGATCTACGCTACGAACGCCTTCCCTCTTTTTATTTTGAATGTGGGATTGTAGGTCACGCTGATAAATTTTGCCCTGCGGCGGCGGATAAGCCTTTGCACAGCGGAAAGAAGCCCTATGGCGTTTGGATGAGGGCGGGGGTTCGGAGAACTAGGGCGGCGCCGGAGAACAGGTGGCTGGTTCTAGAAGAGCCGACGGAGGCGGGGAAGTCGGATACGTTGGTAACGAATAGTGCATTAAAAGCAAATGATGAGGGGACCTTGATGGGTTAGCCGTTATCCGTTAAGCTTGGGGAGGTGGGTAGGAGGGAGAGGGTGAAAGAAGGAGAAACGACTGGGGGAGTAAGTCTGGGATTGATTAAGGATGTGGTCATAAATGAGAGTATAAATGGTAAGGGAGAAAGTGAGGGAGTGGTTATTATTGAGGCTAAACGAAGGAGAACGGATGGTGAAGCTGAGGATTTAAGTGATACTTGGGCTCGTCCAATGACTATTGAGCAGCAAGACTCTTTTTCTTGTGAGGTGGGCTCTGGGATCCAGGCCCACCCGGCCCAATGAATATTTTAAGTTGGAACTGTCATTGGCTTGGAAACCCATTGGCAGTTCAGTTCTTGGTGGGCTTGGTTTGTCAAAAGAAGCCCCAGGTTATTTTTTTATGCGAAACTAAAAGTGATGCTCGACGTCTTGAACGGGTAAGGGTGAAGCTTAAGTACGACAATTGCTTTGTTGTGGATGATACGGGAAGAGGTGGGGGGCTGGCGCTCCTTTGGAATGCGGGGGTAGATGTTGAAGTGAGGGGGTATTCGAACCATTACATTGATACGGTGGTCAAGAGTGGTGGGGGGGACTCAAGGTGGAGGTTCACAGGGTTTTACGGTGAGCCTGATCAAAGCCGAAGACGTGAGTCCTGGGGTCTTTTGAGGTACTTATCTACTCTAAATAATCTGCCTTGGGTTTTGGTAGGGGATCTTAACAATTTACTGTGGGATCGGGAGAAGGAGGGTAGGCTGCCGTATCCCAGGTGGTTGCTTAGGGGTTTTGGGGAAGCAGTTAGGGAGAGTGGCTTGTCAAATTTTGGGTTTGATGAGTGCCAATACACTTGGGAGAAGGGAAGGGGTACATGCAATTGGGTGAGGGAGAAGTTAGACCGCATTTTGGTCTCGGGAGAGTGGAGAGATTTATGGCCGCAAGCGAGGGCTACATCGGTGGAGGGCAGTATGAGCGACCATTTGCCTTTATTTCTGGCAGCGGAGGGGGGGGAGGTGTACGGTGAGAGTTGTTCGCCGGCCTAGGTTCGAGAACATATGGGGTAAAAATCCGGAATGTAGGGAGGTTGTGGAACGGGAATGGGGCCGTCTTCGGGGATGCTCGATCGGGGAGAGATTGAGTGAATGTGGTCGGGGAGTGTGGAATTGGGGAAGGGGGCAGAATAAGGGTGAGATAGAGGCTATCCGACGTTGCAAAGATGAGATGGGGAGGTTGCGGGGCAGGAGGGATGAGGATAGTATAAGGCAGTTTGGGATTGTCCAGAGCCAATATATGGGAATTCTCCGGAACCAGTGATAAGTTCAGACAAAAGGGCCAAAGAGATTTGGTACAGAGAGGGGGATATTAATTCCAGGTTTTTTCATAACTCTGTGAACACTAGGAGAAGAAGGAATCAGATTACGGCCTTGAGGGATTCGGGGGGTGTGCTGATAAGGGATGAGCAGATGATGGGGGGGATTATGGTGGGTTATTTCTCTGAGCTTTTCACGGCTGCCGAAGGAGATGCGAGGCAGGTTGTTGATTATTTGGACAGAAGGGTTGACGATGCTCAGAATGTTGAACTGGTACGAGAAGTTACGGAGGAAGAAATGAAAGGGGCTTTGTTCGCGATGCATTCGGATAAATCTCCGGGGCCGAATGGCTTATCTCCAGCTTTCTTCCAGACGTACTGGTCTATTTTAGGCCCTGAGGTAGTATCTTTCTGTCGCCTCTTTATGCTTACTGGAAAGCTACCGGAGCGGGTAAATGATACATATATTGTTTTGATCCCAAAATGTAAATCCCCTTAGTATATGTCTGAGTTTCGGCCTATTTCCTTGTGTAATGTAATATATAGAATTGTTGCTAAGGTCTTGGCTACCCGCCTTCGTGTGTTGCTAGACTCTATTATTGATCCTGCACAAAGTGCTTTTATTCCGGGGAGGTCTATTATAGACAATGTGCTTATTGCTTTTGAGTCAGCCCACTGTTTGAAACGTCAACCTGGGGAAAGGGGTGGTTATGGGGCTCTAAAATTCGATATGAGTAAAGCATAAGATCGGGTTGAGTGGGGTTTTTTGTGTTAAAGTGCTTCTAAAAATGGGCTTTAGTGACCAATGGGTGGGTCTGATGAGGGAGTGTGTGACAAGTGTACACTACTCGATCCTAGTGGAAGGAAAGGAATGGGGGCCAGTGGTGCCGGGGAGGGGGCTTAGACAGGGGGATCCGTTATCACCTTTATTTATTTATCCTGGTTGCGGAGTGTTTAAGTGTTATGTTGAGAGCTCGGGAGGAGGTGGGAATGTTTCATGGGCTAAGGGTAGCGAGAGGGGCTCCGGCAATCTCTCATCTTTTCTTTGCTGATGATTGTCTGTTTCTCTTCCGGGCAAATAATTTTGAAGCCGAGGTTCTTAGGGATGTTTTCAAAGATTATGGGAGGGCGAGAGGCCAGGAGGTGAATTTTGATAAATCGTCTATAGTGTTTGGACGGAATGTACATCGGGAGGATAAGGAGGCTGTTTGCGAGAATTTGGGGATTGGCGAACAGCAGGGTCAGGGGAAATATTTGGGGTTGCCAGGGTATGTGGGGAGGAAAAAAAGGGATATTTTGGGGTTTGTTCGGGACAGAGTCAGAGTTCGGGTTATGAATTGGAGAAACCGGTTCTTATCTAGAGGGGGTAGGGAAGTTATTCTAAAAACTTTTCTTCAAAGTATACCAAACTATGCGATGAATGTGTTCCTTCTCCCTGTGGGTTTAAGTGATGAGCTAGAGCGGGTTATGAATTCCTTTTGGTGGGGGTGTGAGAGAAGGGAGCGAGGGGGAATAAGGTGGAGTAGATGGAGTGATTTGTGTGTGCCAAAGAAGTTTGGGGGTATGGATTTTAGGAGAGTGCGGGAGATGAACCTTGCTATGTTAGGAAAACAGGGGTGGAACTTCCTTACGAAACCAAATGCTCTAGTTACAAGGGTCTTTAAGGCGAGGTATTTTCCAAAATGCTCGTTTTTACAGGCAAAGATCAGAGGGGCTCAAATCCTTCGTATGTGTGGTCTAGTATTTGGGAAACCTAGGAGTTGGTTCGGAGGGGGGTTATATGGAGGATTGGGAATGGAGAAGGGACGAAAGTTTGGGGAGACCCTTGGCTTCCGAATGAGGAAAATCCTTATGTTACTACCCCGGCTCAGGAGTACGTACTTGGGGGATCCTTGTGTGAGCTCTCCTCTGTGCGTTGATTCAAATGATTGGGATCATGGGGTGGTGAGAGATATTTTGTGTGAACGAGATGTAAATCTGATTTTGAGTGTGCCGTTGTCATCTGGGGGGGGGGGGGGTGTGACTCGTTGTTTTGGAGCCGAGAGCAAATTGGAATGTATTCGGTGCGTAGCGCGTATAGGCTGGCTTGGAGCGAACTGGGGCAGGGGGAGGGAGTAGCATGGAGGGGTATTTGGCGAATGAGAGTGCCACCCAAAGTGAAATGTTTTTTCTGGAATTTATGTACGCTTCGGCTTCCCACAAAAGATGCTTTGTTGTTAAACATGTCCCTTGTGATCCTGTTTGTGTGTTGTGTGGAAGGGCAAACGAGAGCACTGTTCATCTTTTTGCTAATTGTGAATTTGCGCATAAGAGTTGGCGTATGTTGAATGGGAACTGGAATATGGATTATGTTGAGTCTATTCATGGTTGGTTAGATGAAATGTGGTATGGCAGCTTATCTCTTATGATGATTGAGTAGGTAGTGATGGTGGCTTGGGCTATTTGGGAAGCTACGAACTCCATGGTTTGGCAGCAGAAGGAAACAGATCCTCAAACAATGGTGTGCTATGCGCTGTTGTATGCCCAAAATTGGCGAGAGAATAAGGGGTGTGGAGGATACTATACACACGTCGATTTGCCTAATCCCCAAGAGGTGCAGGTGATACATTATGTCCATGGAATGGTCCAAATAACTATTGATGTTGCAATGGATTATAGAAGTAGGCGGATGGGGTTTGGATGGAGTATTTTTGATTGGGATGGTTCGGTTAGGGGGGTGGTGATGTTTGCTAAGCATGGTTTTCATATGGTTAAGGAGGCAGAAGCAATGGGAGCAAGAGAGGCGCTTAGCTGGATAAAGAATAAGGGATGGGAGCGGGTAATCCTTGAAACCGATGCTCAATTAGTCACAACGGCGGTGGCGGGTGGACCAAATATCTCACCTTTTGGCTTAATTGTTGACGAGATTCGGGAGCTTTTAAGTCAATTGCCTATGGTAACTTTTCGCTATGTATGCCGCCAACATGTTATGGTGTCTCATTGTTTAGCCAAGAGAGCTCTAAATTGTGTGGGGAGGGTCGAGTGGAGTATTTTGACTATATTCCTCGTTTTGTATCTATTCTCCTATGTAACAATTCTGATTTTTATTAATGAATTGGTTGTCGTTTTATATCACCTGCAAAGTTCACCGGTTATGAGTTGATAGGCCAACGGACACAATAATCTACAACAGTAGGTAATTAAATATTAAAAAAAAATCAATAATTTAATTTATTAATGATATGTAAATTTAAGAAAGAAATGCAACACCAGTACGTACGTATGTCTTATATATTAGATAAAAGATGGAGAAATAAGTGCAAATTTAGATTTTCCTGTCCTATATACGCACTACATAGAACATAGGCATATCAATCTACTACATGAGAGGGCAACTGGTTAGGTAAAGGGACTTTGGTGGGTTTCTCACACTTAACACCAATCATACTATCTTCATCCCCACCATCAAACTCCTTGAAATGGGCGATCTTCCCAAGCTCCTCCACTTCCTCAATCACGATCTCCAGCCTCGCCACCAGCTCCACCAGCAGCGACGCGAACGCCGCGAACGGCAGCGCCTCCGAGAAGTTCAACGACGTGAAGGCGATCTTGCTCAGCGTCGGCCGCAACACCTTCCTCTCCTCTTCTTTCTCCCGCCGGGACCCTCCTCCCCTCTTCGACCGCCAGTCCATCAGCGCCGACGTGTCCGTCTTCACGCTCGGCAGCGACGACGACGACTTGTGCTGCTCCCTGGCCGCGGCGGCGGCGGCCATGGCTATCATGTTTGGGTTGCTGTTGCGGCTGCGGCTGCCGAGGAAGAGGCGTGGCTGGGACTTGATGGCGGCGTTCAGGTCATGCAGGGCTTCGTGGAGGTGGTCGGAGAGGATCTCCGGCGAGCAGTGGCGGCGGTTGCGGATGCTCTCGCCGAGCTCCTCTAGCGCTTTGGACACTTCTCCGGCGAGGCGCATGCATGGGTCTTTGAAATGAGCGCGGATGGATTGGGGAGTCTAAAATCATTTTTAATTAATAACAAAATGTAAGCATTAATTTATTTAAAATTTAATAAACACTTTTAACGTTGCTAAAAATGATTAGAAATATCATTAGAAATTAATATCAATACCTACTAGAAATAGTAAGACGTATAATTTTTTATATCTTAATTATCTGATCTCAAAAAATAAAATTTCCTCTATATATTCTAATCACATATAATTTGTTCTATATAAAACAATATTATATTGAGTGGATTAATAATGAAAATATACCTGAATTTCAGTTTGTAAACAACCATGAAGAGCCACGACAGTATACCCAAAATGGCGAAGAACGGCTCCTAACTTCACATATCGTTGCCATGGAAACTTGTAACAATGCAATGAATGCCTTGGCTCCCAGCTTGCATATAATGCCTGCACGTTAATATATTTACAATGTAACTCACAATAACTTTTTTTTTTTTTTTTTTGGAAAAACCCACAATAACTTTAATTGGCAGATCGAGATATATAGACCCTGTTTTGGTAACATTGTTAGCTTATCAATTAATTTTAATTTATTTGATTATTATTAATTGTTTGACTTGGTTAAACATTCAATGTAAATGTTTGATTAATTAACTTTTTTGCAATAGGTTATTGTTCCAAAATTTTAAAATTTAAAAAACTACTCAAAACAGTTTTTTTCGATCAACTTTTTGATAAAATCATTTTGCATATAATTAGCTATCAGCTAACAACTAATTTACTCAACATCTTTCTACAATCAGTTAATGCTATCAACTATTCAAACTCATTAACCCAATCAGTTAACAGCTAACAGCTATTTACCAAACACCCTATGTAGTGTAATGATACTTTTGTTACTATTCTAAATGGGTTGTCATGAAATCTGTCCCACCAAATATAGAACAGATACTATCTTATAAAGAATCATGAATATTTTAAAAAATTATTTAAAAAAATTAACAGATGGAAAATGAAGAATCAGCCCTACCAGACTTTCATCAGAGGACTTGGAGTCCAACACAGCCCTGTAGCCCTTGCCGATTGGGTCCTCCGAGTCAGGTGACTCGGACTCGCCTATTTCTTGCTCCTCATCGCCAAAATACCCCTTCACGCATCCTATAAAAATAGTTAAAATTTGTACGATCAAGAGTAGACTTGGCCTTTTACTGATCTTCGTCCAAGAATTCTCCCTTCCAGTTCAACAACCCCCATTTCTAACACTTGCCAATTTTACTGTACAGTTTTAAATCAAGTGTTTATCACTATATCCCAAGTTATGAACTCGATACCTCCGCCCAACAATCTCCCTAACTGCCAATTGCTCGACTTGGCCTTTTACCGGCCTCCGCCCAACAAAAATTTTCATGACTTCCATCAATTAAATTGCGTGCCATATTTAGTGTGTATGATATATGAAGTAAAAGAAAATGAAAGACCTTGAATGGATTTGGCTAAGCCATCAAACTTGTGAACGGTGGAGTTATGGAGGTCTTCTCCAGACCAAAAAGGGAAGATGAATAAGCTCATAAGCAGACAGATAGCACAGCCCATGGCTATGGTGTAAAACCGCTGGTGCGCCATTTTGAGGATGTTCTCCACGCGATAACTCGAAACCGTGATCAAGTTGAAGGTCAACAGGAATATCACCACTCCATAGTCGTAGTTTTTTTTTATGTATGGCAAAAATCTAATGTACGTTCCTATACTTCCTGCACACACATATATATATGCAACATTATATTATAGCCTTGTTTGGTAACATAGTTATCTTATCAGTCAATTTTGACTTGTTTAACCAGACTTGGTTAAACAGCTAATATGATGAGTGTTTGGTTAATCATCTCTTCGTAACAGCTTATTATTCTAAAACACTAAAATTTAAAAAGTTTCTCCAAACTTTTTTGATCAACTTTTTGACAAAATAAATTATACCCTTAAAAGTCATTTTGCAAATAATCAGTTATTAGTAGTTAACAACTAGTTTACCAAACATCTCTCTACAACCAGCTAATGCTATCAGCTATTCAAACTCACTAACTCAATCTGCTAATATATATTTGCCAAACATCCCTATATATATATATATTCAAGCAATGTTAATTAGGGGTTGATCGAGAAGATTAAGGCGAGGTAATTAATTAAGGTTACCTATTAGGAAAACTGCTGCTCCAATAAAAATAGCTCGAAAAATTCGATCAGATTCCGTCGTAACGCACTCAATGAACAAGGCCAACGAGCCAGCGACCAACGTCCCCAGTCCTCTATTCAATCCTTTGTACAATGTTGCCCCTATAAGTACAATTTCCAAAACAAATTAAATGCCGTAAATGAATGAATAATTAAAAGTTAATTAGCAAAATACATTTAATTTGGTAAGCACGTGATCCTAACAAAGGGTATCAGGTCACGAGTTTGAGTTTCAGCAAAGAGCTAAAATTGTGCACTAAAAACTGGTAAGTGCTTGGAAGGTGAATTGTTGGGCGGAGGCTTGTAAAGGGTCAAGTCAATCAATTGGTGACTAGGGGATTGTTGGGCGGAGATTGGTAAAAGAGTTAGCAAGTCCATCAATTGGTGGCTTGGGGGATTGTTAGACAGAGGCTGGTAATAGGGTCAAGTCCATCAATTGGTGGCTAGGAGATTGTTGAGCGAAGTCTAGTGAAGGGTAAAGTCCAGTGTTCTCCCTCTCAAAAATGTAAGAAAATCCTCAATAGGCGCGTATTGTCCTAAGGTTTTCTGCGATCATGACATACGCGACTGTTGTACAACATGCAGTTGCGAAATGTCTTTTACAACATTTGTGGATTTGGTACTAGTGCTTGGTCCGCATAATGCGCATCGGGGAGCAGTTTCACTGATTTGGTGGGGTCCACACATCGGACAAAAACCAAGGTCTTCTTGAAAAGACCTAAATTACTTTCTCTTTCTCCTCCCTCTCTTTCTCTCCTCCCATAGAATTATATTTCCTCAAAAACCACCCCAAAATCTCTATTGAAAATGCTCTAATAGTTATTTATAAAGAAATAAAGGTATGTCATTCGCTACTAACTATACCTTTTAATATTGGATAGATAGCTTACCTGCAGTGAATTCAAGAACGACGACCACAGTCATGACAGCCCAAATGGCGCTCTGCCCAACCTCCTTGAACAATGGCTCTATCAAATACAACAAAGACACCAACGTTAACGCCACCCCCACTTTGATCGCATGAATCACTCTCCTCGGATCTTCCCGTCCCACGTTCCAAAACCTCTTCCACATCGACGCCGGCACTCTCTTCGCTCTCTCTGCCAAAACCTTGGCGCGTTTCTCCATCGCCTCAACCCTCTCCAACGCCATCATTTCGCCGCACCACCACCTCATTGCCACGCAAACAAAATTAAACCAATTCAATTATCACCAATAATAATATAATAATATGTGTTCCCAGACCATGAAACCGTGAGGGTTTCAAAAAAAAGCTAAGGGATTTTTGTGAATAATTCATGTGCCACCCTTACTTATAAGAAAGCTAGCTTGCTTTTATGCATAGCGAGAGTGAGAGGTGGAGGTTTTTCATGGGTTCACATGACTACAAATAAAGTGATTTGAGATATTAATTGGCTTCACAGGAACAAAACATAAAGTCAACACGGAGAGGACCTAACCTAAGACGTTTGCATGCAATTGCTTTGCTTTACCTAGCTAGCTAGCCTATTAGACAAGGTAGTAAACAAAACTTCTTTTGTAACAATTAATGTATTCCCATATTGAAATATATGGACTTGCGCACTACATTTAGTGTAATTGAGGAAACCAGGCCATATTTTTTTGTTAGATTTTAAGCCCTAAGTTTAGAAAAAACAAAATTATTGTGAACATAGGTAACAATAGCCAAGATGGCTAATGATACAAACTTGTAATTACAAGGTCATCACGAGTTTGGTCCCTGTCTTCTTTATTTGAGTAATGGAAAACTGATAGAAAATGCTATATTTACTGCATATTAGTTTTATTTTGAATTAGTCTTTCATTATCTTGTTTTAATTCTAAGTTGTTGAGATATTTTAGAGTTGTTTGTTGAGTTATTTTCTCTGTTAATTGTGTATAAATTAGCACGGATAGAATGGAATAAACATATTCATTTCCCCCAGAAAAACTTGAGTGTTTACCACTAATTAAATATCCAACAAAGTGGTATCAAGAGCCCTTTTTCTTAAGGGACCTGTGTGAGTAGGGGTGTGCAAACTTTGGATAATTTTCGGTTAACCGACCGAACCGACAAAGTTCGGTTAACCGTTTTCGAACCGAACTTTTTCGGTTCGGTTAATGGTTAAAGGAATTTTAAAACTTCGGTTAACGGTTAATTCAGTTCGAAAGGTCGGTTAACCGAATTAACCGAACGGTTAACCGAAGTTTTTAATATATATATATAATAATATAAATATAAATACTAATTTGAAGTTATGGATGTTTGGAGTTTATAATTAATGTTTTTGTATATTTTGTTATGAATTTATTATGATATGTATTTTATTTTAATTGGATTTATTATTTTAGGTGTTATTTTTAGAATTTTAAATTTTAGCTTTAAAATGTTCGGTTAATCGGTTAACCGACCGATTAACCGAAAAAAATTTCGGTTCGGTGAATTCGGTAGAGCAAACTTCGATTCGGTTAACGGTTAAAGGAAAAAAAAACTTCGGTTAATTCGGTTCGGTTAAAACGGTTCGGTTAACCGAACGGTTAACCGATTGAACACCCCTATGTGTGAGTGAATCAGTGAGGAACCCTTATCATATAAGACCTGAAAACTTTACCTTCAAATGGCAGGAGATAGTTTTTTGTCTAAACCCCCAGTTTTCACAGGTGAAAATTATCATGCATGGGCTGTGAAAATGGAAACTTATTTAGAAGCATATGGCTTATGGGAAATGGTGGAAATTGATGAAATTCCAGCACTTCCTGAAGATCCAACAATTGCCCAAATGAGAGTGTATAGGGAGGAAAAGAAGAAGATGAATAAGGCCAAGACCTGCATTCACTCGGCACTAACACATGAAGTTTTTACAAAAATCATGACCTGTAAAACTGCAAAACAGGCATGGGATTTGTTGAAAAATGAATATGCAGGAAACGACAGGACAAAAAGAATGCAAGTCCTGAACTTGAAAATGGAATTTGAGATGAAGAAAATGAAGGAGACAGAATCATTAAAAGATTACTCCGAAAGATTGCAGAAGGTGGTAAACAAAATCAGATTACTGGGAGAAGAACTTCCTGATGACCGGGTTGTTGAGAAAATATTGGTAACTTTGCCGGAGAGATTTGAATCAAAAATCTCTTCTCTGGAAGAGTCTAGAGATTTGTCAGAAATATCTTTAGCAGATCTTCTCCATGCACTTGAAGCTCAAGAACAAAGACGGGCCTACAGGAATGAGAGTAACATTGAGGGAGCATTCAAAGCAAATGAGGTAAGTCAAAACCAACCAAAAGGCAAAAACCAGCAACAACCGTGGAAGAAGAAGGGTAGTCAAAACGGTGCCAACAGAGGAAAATTCCCTCCTTGCCAGCACTGTAAGAAAACCTCACACTTAGAAAAATATTGTTGGTTTAGACCTGATGTGAAATGTTTCTCTTGCAATCAAATGGGTCATGTGAAAAAGGTGTGCAAAAACAAACCACAACAGGCTCAAGTAGTGGATGAAGAACAAGGAGAGGAACAACTTTTTGTTGCGACCTGTTTTGCAAGCCAAATTTCGAGTAATGTTTGGCTAATTGACAACGGATGCACCAATCACATGACTTTTGATGAGTCATTGTTCAGAGAGATTGATAAAACAGTGATATCAAAAGTCAAAATTGGTAACAGACAATATATTGAAGTCAAAGGTAAAGGAACTGTTGCAATTGAAGGACCATTAGGTATAAAACTAATTTCTGATGTGATACTTGTTCCTGAAATTAGTCAAAACTTGATGAGTGTTGGACAACTACTTGAGAAAGGTTACTCTGTTATTTTCAAGAATAACATGTGTTTTATAACTAATTCATGTGGTGCTGAATTATTTTCTGTGAAAATGAAAGACAAGAGTTTTTGTCTTGATTGGATGAGGCAGAGTTTAAAGCCTATCCATGTGTTGTTAGCCAAGCTGAATTATGGCACAAAAGGCTAGGACACTTTCATTATTCCACCTTGGAGTATATGCAGAAAAAGGAGATAGTAAGAGGAATGTCATTCACACGAGTTGCAACAGTGTGTGAGATATGTCAGTTGGGGAAGCAAACCAGATTGCCATTTCCTGTAGAAAAAACATGGAGGGCAATTGAAAAACTTCAACTCATTCATACTGATGTGTGTGGAGGTATGAAGAATGTCTCTATAAATGGCAGCAAATATTTTATACTTTTCATTGATGATTTCACTCAAATGTGTTGGGTATATTTTCTTAAACAAAAGAGTGAAGTTGCTGATGTTATTTGGAAGTTTAAATCTTGGATTGAAAATCAAAGTGGTTGCAAAATTAAAGTAATTCGCTCTGATATTGGTACTGAATATACTGCTGGCAGATTTACCAAGTTTTGTGAAGATGCAGGAATTGAACATCAATTCACGGTAATCTACACTCCTCAACAAAATGGAGTGAGTGAGAGAAATAATAGAACTGTCATGGACATGGCTCGATGTTTGCTCTTTGAGAAAGGAATACCAAAAAAGTTTTGGGCAGAGGCGGTTAATACAACTGTATTTTTGCTAAATAGGTTACCAACTATAGTTTTAAAAGGAAAAACATCTTTTGAAGCATGGTATGGCTTTAAGCCTTTTGTTCTTAATTTTAAAATATTTGGTTGTTTATGTTTCACTTGTATTCCAGATGTAAAATGAGAGAAGCTAGATCCAAAGACAGAATATTGAGTTTTTATTGGTTATAGTAATGTCACAAAGGGTTATAGAATTTTTCAGCCTCTAACAGGTAAGTTGAAAATATGCAGAGACGTGAAGTTTGATGAAAATGTCAGATGGAATTGGGATAAAAATGAACCTGAAAATATTAAAGAAGAATAAAAAAAATCTTCTTGAAGATGAAAGAATTGATGATATTCCTTTAAGAGGTACAAGGTCACTTGCTGAAATTTATGAAAGGTGCAATGTAGCAGTACTTGAACCTGCAGGGTATGATGAAGCTGCTAAAGACCCAAAATGGATTGCTGCAATGGAGGAGGAGATGAGAATGATTGAGAAAAACAAAACCTGGCAACTTGTAGATCGGCCTGAACATAAGATGACCATTGGTGTGAAGTGGGTTTACCGAACCAAACTCAATGTTGATGGCTCTGTTAACAAGCATAAAGCAAGGCTGGTTGTGAAGGGTTATGCTCAACTATATGGTGTTGACTATTCAGAAAGGTTTGCACCTGTGGCAAGGTTAGATACTATACGGTTTCTCTTAGCATTTGCAGCACAAAAACAATGGCGGATTTATCAACTTGATGTAAAGTCAGCCTTCCTAAACGGCTATCTAGAGGAAGAAATTTTTGTTAAGCAACCTGAAGATTTTGCAACAGATTCAGGTAAGGTTTACTTGCTTAAGAAAGCCTTGTATGGCCTAAAACAGGCTCCAAGGGCCTGGTATAGCAGAATTGATGAAGAATTGCAAAACATGGGGTTCAACAAGAGCAAGAGTGAATCAACCTTGTATATTAAAGTTGTTGATGATGATCTGATTGTTATTTCACTATATGTTGATGACTTGTTTGTGACAGGAAATAATGTGAAGCCAATCAATAAATTTAAGACTCAAATGATGCAAGCTTTTGAAATGACAGTTCTAGGAGAAATGAATTTTTTCCTAGGCGTGGAGGTTCAACAAACTCAAAATGGAATTTATATTGGACAGCAAAAATATGCTAGGGAGGTGTTGAAGAAATTCCACATGGAAAGCTGCAAGTCGGTAAGTACTCATCTTTCTCAAAATGAAAAATTTAGCAAAGATGATGGTGCTGAGAAAGTTGATGAGACCGCATATAGGAGTATTATTGGATGTCTTATGTTCTTGACATCAACAAGGCCTGATATAATGTTTCCTGTAAGTTTATTATCAAGATTTATGCATTGTGCTAGTGAGTTGCATTATACAGCAGCAAAGATGAATTTTAGGTATATAAAGGGAACTCTAGACTATAGTTTGAAGTTTGAAAAAACAAAGAAGTTGTTTCTTCATGGTTATTCTGACAGTGATTGGGCAGGTTCACCAGACGATATGAGAAGTACATCCAGATATTTTTTTAGTTTTGGATCCGGTTGTTTTAGTTGGAGTTCAACAAAGCAGGAAGCCGTGGCACAATCAACAGCTGAAGCTGAGTATGTTGCAGCAGCTTTAGTTGTTAATCAATCTCTTTGGTTAAGGAAGTTAATGTCTAATCTAAAGATGACCCAAGAGGAAGCAACAACAATTTTTGTGGACAACCAGGCAGCCATAGCAATTTCAAGAAATCCAGTCT